AACCCCCAGTGGGACCGCCCGCATGCGTCCCCTACATCCCGTTTGGCATTTCCACTACCCAGTACAGCGTTTCGTGGCTGAATAAAGGAACCCCACCGAAACCCCCAGCGGGACGGCCCGCATGCGTCCCCCACACCCAAGTTGATATTGCCACCCACCCAGTACAGCGCTCCGTGGCCCCATAGGGAGCTCCACCGAACCCACCCGTGGGACCGCCCGCATGCGTCGCCCACACCCGATTTGGCACTGTCACCCACCCAGTACAGCGCTCCGTGGTCCCATAGGGAGCCCCACCGATACCCCCAAATGGGACCGCCCGCGTGCGTCCACCATGCCCGATTTGCCATTGTCACCCACCCAATACAGCGCTTCGTGGCCTCATAGGGAGCCCCACCGAAACCCCCAGTGGGACCGTCAGCATGCGTCCCCCGCACCCGATTTGGCATTTTCGCCGGCCCAATACAACGCTTCGAAGCCCCAAAGGGAGCTCCGCCCGCATGCGTCCCACACGCCTAATTTGGTATTTTCACCCACCCAGTGCAGCGCTTCGTGGCCTCATAGGGAGCTTCACCGACGGCCCCAGTGCTACCGCCCGCATGCGTTCGCCCCCCGCCCAGCGCAGCGCTTCGTGGCCCCATAGGGAACTTCACCGAAAAAGATATTCACATTTGCGGTACCCACAACTTCATATGGTTGGGTCCTTCGCTAGGATGATTGGTCTTGTGTCGCCGAGCTCACGCAAAACAAGATGTAGGATATCACGAAGCACCATCTCCTACATGTCAAATCTGCGCATGTATCGAACGAAAACGACACAGCGAGGTGTAAGAAAACACGAAAGACGCATCCCTAGAATCGGCTTGGCCACGAACCACGTCTTCCTACACTTGGTTGTCCTACTTCGCCGTTAGCTGACCCACCGTTGGCGCGTCTACGGGGGAAGGCGGGGAAGGGGCTGCCGCGGACAACAGGCGGGGGAGGAGGGCGCTCACCACGCAAAGAGAATTCCAGGAGGAGCGCGCCGGTGCGACCAGCTTGGGCGGAGGAGACCTGGTCTGGCAGCGGGCGAGGGACAGCGTCACGACCGCACCCAGGGGCCGAAGCCAAGTGCGTCGTGGAGGTGCGTCGTGGAGGTCTGCGAGTACCGTTTAACCGATCCCCATCCCCAGCGGCGTGGCCTGGGCCCCACTGGCCGATTTACCCCCGTAGATGGGACGTAGGTCGTTCCCTTCGGGTTTCGAGGGGTCTATCACCAACTGGGGTGGTAGTTTGATGGGGGTCTCGAGGGGGATGGGGATGGGGATGGGGATCGTTTGGACGATCCTGGGTCTGGGCCCCTTGCTCGTCCGACCCCGATGGGGGCGGCAGGATCGGGCGAACCCCCGCCGCGCCGCCGAGGCCTGGGGACTGGCACGCCCGCAGCGGCTGCGGCAAGACTCGCACGGTGTCGGCACGCGCAGGAGGCTTTTGTCACCGCGTCAATCGCTCCACCTTGAGCCGATGGCGACCCCGATCGTTCTCGGTTGAGATCCGTCGGGTCCAGTGGCGTCACCCGGTCCCTCGGTGCTTCCGCGTCACAGGACTCAACCTTGAGCGCCCTCGCCGACGTCGCCAACGCTGCCTGCACCTACTGTGCTCGGACAATCCCAGAGATCCGATGTCGTGATTTTTCCAATACGGGGTCCCCGGAAGTCTCGACCCATTCCCCAGGACTGGTTTTTCATCCCGAGCCGCTTTTGAAGGTCCCGAGGCCTGGTAAGGGCCCCTTGGGGCCGAAAACTGCAAAAAACCTCCGTCGTGATTTTTTCAATACGTTGGATCTCTGGGATGGGCCCAGTGCCCAGCAGCGAATGATGCCCACAACCCACGGCGGCCGCTGCTGGGCAGGCGGCCCTCTGTCTCAACCAGCCGACGTCCGCGGCGAAGCTCAACGTCGACGGGGCCTGCTGTCGGCCTTCGTCCCCTTCCTTTCCAAGGGCTCCCAACTTCGTGCTTCGCGCTGCGCGAAGCGCGAAGTGAGCATAACTTCGCGCTCTCGCGCCGCCTCCCAAGGGAGAAGAGGAGGCTGAGGAGGAATCGGAGCCGAACCGCGAAGCGCGAATGACTTCGCGCCATCGAGGGCGCCCTTGCTGTCGGTCCCCCGGTCCTCCCCCCTCACGACTCGGACGCGAGAGGTCTGGACCCCCTCCCCGGGGAGCTGCTCTCCATCACGAGCGCTCTTGACGGTCCCGAGGCCGGGCGAGGGGCCCCCCCGGAGGCCCAGACGTTTGAAAACTGACCGCTGCGTCGTGCTCATGTTGCGACGCAGAGGGGGGTCGGGTTGTTCGACCGACCCGCCCGGCAGCTCAGGTCAGAGAGTGCTTGGAACAGACGAGCGCGAAGGACTTGGGAAGTGAAGGCGGATAGAGGATAGAGGAGCAGAGAGAGACGGGGGAAGGAAGGGAGATAGTTCACGAAGAGGGCGCCGACGGGGCAGAGCGGGCGAGGATGAGGAGCAGCGCGACCACAGGTCGGCAGCAGAGAGACAGACGCCAATAGCGGGGGGAGACAACAACTCACGCTCGAACTGACTCTCGCGCATGCCGCCGACCAAACTTCGAGGGGCTCTGGGAGCTTGACAGGCTGCACCGATCCTGGCCAGGCCCACTCAGTGGGCCCAGGGGGCCCCGCAGGGGACCCTGGCGATCCCAATCCCCAGCTTCCCGTGGGGTCTTCGCATGAACCGAGCATTCGCATGGGCCGAGGATCAGGAGCGTAAGAACGCGCACACGTACATTTACCCACGCTGGTCTCTTGAGCAGGGACCGAACGTCCCGGCAGTTCTATAGTCCCAACACGACGTGTCCGCAGAACCACAAAAAGGTTAGAATAACAACAACACTGTTCTTAGAACATATTCTGGAGGTGTTAAAACAAGACAGTCCCAGCCAGAACTGTTCTAAGAACATCTCGTGGAAACCACAAACTATTATTAGAACATTGTTTGGTAGGCCTATAGACACGCCAGGACGCTTCGCCACTACTTGATTTCGAGAGCACGCCTTGCGCGAACGTACGTACCACGCGGCCGGCCTCGCAGCCTGGGGGACCGCGTTCGTGAACGTGGGTGGGCGCGTACGTATCCTCCGTGGGCTCCCTAAAACCTTGGTGATGCATCGGCGATGTGCAGTCGGACTCGACTAGACAGGACACGCGAGAGGACACAAGACCCTTCCGAGGGTCACGTTGCCACAGGAATGCAGGAAGCATGGGTCGCAAGACGCAGGACACGGGGGTACCCTTGATCTATCAGGGTCGACCTACCAATCCGGGTCGACTGAATTGCTGATGCATCGCCGATGCATCGGCGACACCAGCGTGGAGAAACTCGGGCTCCACATCGAGCCGCATCGCCGAAATATCGGCGACGCGGCGCGAACCTTCGACACCGTCTGCTCGGGCCCCATCTATGAGAGGCCTGAAAGCATGGCGACCCCAATTTCTGGTCTCCTGTGGGGCCTTCGCATGGGCCAGAATTCGCATGGGCCGAACATTTGGACACACTTCAAGCTGGTAGCTTTCGCTGGGGACGCCAAAAAAGTACCGATACCGCTGCTCCCCGGATCTCTCCCGGGGTGCTTTCTGACCAGGATTTTGACGCGAATGCAACTGTGGCGACGAGGGCATCCCAGGAGGTACCTTTTCCTCATCTGAGCATGGGCCGAGAATTCGCATGGGTCCAACATTGGGACACGCTTCAAGCTGGGAACTTCCACCGCACCTGTGAAGGCGCGCCGGGATTCGGCGCCGCGCTGCTGAGGACCCTATCTCGGGGATCTTCTGACCCGGGTCAATCCAAACTCGGGTCACTCGGGCCTGGCAGGATCCTGCAAGATACTGCAGGATCCTGCGCCCAAGCCTGGGTCGGTGCACCCCTGGCTCTTCAGGATCCTGCAAGGCCTGGCGCGCTGGTTGACCCCCGTTTGCATTGACCCCCGTCTCAAGGGTCTCCGTATTGGAAAGAGCAAGCGGTCGGATGTCCAGAGCAGGACAAATGCCATACACATACGCTTTCGGACCCCCGCGCGGATTTCTTGGATCCGCGCTGGGAACCCCCCCTTGAGCAGGGACCGACCGTCCAGGCATTCCTATAGGCCACCACGGCATGTTCGTAGAACCCCACAATGTTCTAATAACAGAAACATTGCTCCTGAGATATAAACCCGATGTGTTAAAACAACACCGATTCAGCCGGAAATGTTCGAATCAAATCCCATGCAAACCACAAGAGGTTCTTAGCACATTCTCTGGTTGGTGGGCCCATAGGCGAGCCGGGACGCGTCTCCACTGCTTGACCCTCCCTGGCGCCTCCTCCGACGGCGAGGGCGTCGCCCGAGGCGCCACCAGGGAGCCCCGACCATCGCACCCGCGAGCGTCATGGCCTCCTACAGGCGGGCTTTCGACGAGAAATCAAACATAGATGAAATATGTACAAAAAATGTAGGACTGGTCAAACCATCGTCCCCAAACTATTTTTCAAAAGAACTATGTTTGCACGGTCCTCCTGTAAAGGGACAGGCTCGACCTGACGCGAAGGGCAGGAGGACGAGGGAAAAGGAGGAGAATGAGGAGGCTGAGGAGGAGGAGGAGGAGGAGGGACGAGGAGGAGGATGAGGGACGAGGAGGAGGAGGGACGAGGAGGAGGAGGAGGGACGAGGAGGAGGGACGAGGAGGAGGAGGAGGGACGAGGAGGAGGAGGAGGAGGGACGAGGAGGAGGGACGAGGAGGAGGAGGGGGACGAGGAGGAGGAAGAGGGACGAGGAGGAGGAGGGAGGAGGAGGAGGCAGGAGGAGGGGACGAGGGAGGAGGAGGAGGAGAGGAGGGAGGGAGGAGGGAGGGGAGGAGGAGGAGGAGGAGGAGGGACGCGGCGCCGGAACTCCGACCGCCGACCTAGAGGGAAGGGCGCCGCGCCTCGGGTTGCCGCGCCGTCGAGTTCCTCCCCCCCCCCCGCCGGGTGCGTCCTGCTCCTGCCGCTCCGGGCACGTCGCCGCCCGCGCGGGCGGCACCGCACGCGGCGGCGCCGCGCCCGCGGGCGCGCCCGCGGGCGCCTGAGGCGGACCGCCCGCGGGCGGCGGGGCGGACGGCGGCGGCCGAAGAGTTCGAGCCTCGACTCCTCGCGACTCCTCGATGCCTCGATGCCTCGAGGTCTCGATGGCTCGATCGCCCGATGGCTCGATGCCTCAATGGCTCGGCTCCTCGACTCCTCGACGCCTCGATCCTCACTGATTATGTGGCCACTCGTGAATGTATATATAAGACGGAACCAGGACGAGGAGGAATTCGGGCGAGGGTGAAATCGAGAACCCCTGAGATGCGGCGGCTCTGGAGGACGGACGCCTCGGGCGCTGCGGCCTTCTCGGGGAGTCCTGAAACGCGCGGAGAGCGTTCCGCACCGCCCTGGAAGGCCCCGCGTGGGGAGCTCCAGCGCATTGGAAAAATCGGATCGACATCTCAGTCAGCACTGGATCGGATCGGAGAATCGGATCGAATCGAAAAGGTGCCTCGGATCGGGCTGAATCGGCAGTGGTTTGACATCGAATCATGTCGGATGCGCCAGGATGCACTTGTTTCGGGCGTTGATAGAACTGGGTTTAGTGGAACCTGGCCAAGATCTGTACCGGGGGCGCCCCCCGTCCCATTTCCACTAACCGGAACTGCAGTCACCCGTCCAAAAAAACAGCTATGGCAAACCTGGTTTAGCGATTCTGGCCAATTCGAAGGCTCCGGGGCCCTACTGCTAACCAGGGCCCCCTTACCCGGGGTCCTGGCCACCCGATTTCTACCTGCGCGAGAGGTCGCCCCGCGGCTAAGGAAGAAGAGGATACCAGAAGGGGGAGGGAGAAGAGGAAAGGAGACAGCAGCAGCAGCAGCATCAGCAGCAGCAGCAGCAGCAGCAGCAGCAGCAAGCAGCAGCAGCAAGCAGTCCAGGCGCGGCCAGGCTGGCCCCTCAGAGCGCCCCGGGATTGCGGGGCGCGCGCGTCCCCCGCGCGGCCGGAGAAACCGACGCCGCGCAGCCGCCGCCCGCTAGCCTCGCCGAGGGCAATCGGCGCCGCTGGTCCGAGGGCGGCCGGGTCCCCCGTCGCCGCCCCGAGCAGGAGCACACCCCCTGCGCTGCGCCCGGAACGTTGCGCCACGCGTCCGCGCGCGCTCGCAGTCCAGCCGCCTGGCCCGCGCGCGCGCGAGGTTGGCCAAACCAGCCTCTGCCCAGAGGCGCGCGGCGGCGGCGTCCTGGGCACCCCCGCTGGCAGCCGGAGTGCCGTCGCTGCCGGGCGCGCCCGCCGCGGCGGCCCCGCGGGCCGCCGCGCCTCCGGCAGCCGGGCCGCCGCTGGCGCCAGCCTGCCCTGCGGGCCGTTCCGCCGCCCGCGCAGCTCCGCCCGCCGCCGCGCAGCCAGACGTCGCCAGGGCCGGCGAATCGCTAACCCGGCCGCGCCGCAGCGGCCACGCCCGCGCCGGCGGCGGCGCGGCGCCGAGCTCCCGCAGCCGCTCTCCCCGTCGCTGCTGGCGACGCTGCTGGCGTCCACGCCTCGCGTGGCCGCGCGGCCTGCGGCTGCGGCGCCGCCCGCGCGCGGCGGCGCGTCTACCGCGAGGCCGCCATCGACTCCGTCGACGGCGTCGGCCCAGGCGCGGCCCGGCGCGCGCAGCCCCGTCCGCCAGGTCGCCGGCGGCGGCGTGACTGCCCGCTCGAGCAGCCGAGCGGGCTTGTCCAGCGCGTCTATTCCTCCTCGACGGGGAAGTCGCCCGCATCCAGCTCCACCGTCAACGGGACGTTCGGCCGGTCAGCAGTGGCCGCGGCGGCGTCGCCGCGGCCGGGGCTCACAGGAGGCCCCCGGCCTAGGATTCCCTAAGGCCGCGCCAGAGGATGAGGAGCCGGCCCTCCTTGATGAGGGTCGTCACCACGAAGCCCGCAGGCCCCATGGAGCCCCGCCCGCTGCAGCGCCAGCGTCACCAACTCCGCGCCTGGGGTCCCGCCCTGCTCCGTCGCCGCTGGGCCCTCCAGGCAGGCCGCTGCCGTCGCCGCAGGGCCGGGCGGGCCCGGCGTCGCCCGCGGGCCCAGCAGGGCCGGCCGCGTGCGTCGCCCCAGGGCTTCCGGGGCCAGTGCCGGCGGGTCCGCAAGTGGCGGGCGTCGCGCGGCGGGCGTCGCCGCCGCCGCCTGGCTCGGCAGCTGCCGCCGCCGCCGCTGCTGCTGCTGCTGCTGCGCCTGGCTCGGTCACCCGGTGCGCTGCTGTGCTCAGCGTCGCTGGAGGTGCAGCCGGTGCCGTGGCTGCCTGCGCGCCCGCTGAGTCGACCGCCTCGTCGACCGTCTCGTAGGAGTGGCTGTCCTCCTCATCGATGAGGAGGACCGCGCGGAGCCGCCGCTGGCTCCGCTGCTGGCCCCGTTGCTGGCCCTGCCGCCGCCGGCCTCGCCAGCGGGGCGGGCCGGCGCGCCCGCTCGCTGGGGGGCGCGGTGCGCGGCAGGCCAAGAGCGGGCCCGCGCGGGGGAGCGGCGCCGGTCGTGCTCGCGGGGCAGGCGGCCGCGGCTGCGGCTGCGTCTGCGTCTGCGCCGCCGCGCGCGCCTCAGGTGCCGCTTCCGCGGCGCTCGCTCCGACCCCGAGCGGCCGCGGCTGCTCCGGCGCCTCGTCGGCGGGCTCCTGAAGCGCCGCCCAGGCTCCCGCGCCACCCCCGAGCCCCGTCCAGCCCGGCTGCGGGGCTGGCCGGAAGCGGCGCATGGGTTTCTGCCACGGGGGGCCGGCCGGCTCGGGGCTCTCCAGGAGCCGTCCCCCTGGCGCCGGAGCTTCGGCGGGGTTGCTGGAGCCCGCCCGGGAGCCCGTCCCTTGCGCGCCGACTCCGCCAGCGCCGCCGCTGCTGCGCCCCCGCCGGGCGGGTGCGCCAACCAGACCTCGCGGGAAGGTCGGCCCCGCGGTGCCGCCACCCTGCCCGGGCGCACTTTCGCCGCCGCCGCCGCCTGCCGCCACCACGGCCACCCCCGCTCCTTCGGCGGCATCGCCGGGGCCGTGCCAGACGCCTGGCTCGCCGTGCACAACATCGCCGTGATAGCATCGGGTCGCATCGAATCGTCGGAATCGCACCACTATTGGCGTGAGTGGTTTAGAGTGTTTCCTCTTCCATCTGCCCTCTTCCCCTTCGGGGAGGGGTTTACATACCGCTTCCCTCCCCTGGACCTGGACGGGGGGGGGACGCGGCCGATTGTAGCGTCACAGAAGGCATCGGCTAGAAGGCACGAGTTATTGAATTGCTTTAGGTTTGGGGCACATTTTGGCCTCCTGGGTTGGGCGGCGCTAATTGAATACCCCCCCACCTTGTTTGAACGAACTCCTCGAAGATGGCGCCAAGATGGCCCCAAAGGCTCCCAGGAGAACCCTAGCAGGATCCCAAGAGGCGCCCACGAGGCACCAGGAAATTCTAAGAGGCTCCCACGATACACCGAAGAGACCGCAAGAGGCTCCCCCAGGCCCCCAAGACGCTCCAAGAGCCCCCCAGAACCGCAAAAAAGGCCCCCAAGAAGCTCCAAGAGTCCATCAGCATCACCTACACCATCGTCGTATCATCGCCAGCGTCAGAATGGCCACCGTCATGATCATTACCATCAACTTTATCACCATCAGAGTCCTCGCCGATGGTATCCTACTGTCCCAATCTCCACTGTTACCGACATCGGCATCACCGTCACCACAACTGTCAGCTGCACCGTCGTTGGCATTGCGGTCGTCACCATCGCCACCACCATTCCGCGACCTGCAAAACGGACTCGTCTGCGCGATTGAGTTCCACGCGCCCGTGCGCTCCTTGAGATCATGGTCATTGGAACTTTGTCAACAAGTTGCCAGCGGAAGGGTTGCATGGCTGCACGATCGTTAGAGATGACGACTGCAGCTCCCACATGTGAATTGCACCACGTAGCTTGCAACACATACATTGCACCACACAACGTGTACCAAATCGCGTACCAAGTAGACTACACCGCGTACCTTGCACTGAAACGATTGCACCCCATAGCTTGCAACTCAATTGCACCGCACAGATTGCACCACTGGCATCCTTCAGATAGGGCAATCATAATTATCTGTTCTGGGCCCTTGCAGGCGAACATGCTTGTGGAGTGTTGTCTTCTCCGATCCCCTGCTGGTCCTGCTCCGCCTCCTCCTCCTCCTCCTCCTCCTCAAAGGCGAGGCTCGGTGCGTGGGCGCACCGAGTAGTATGAAGCTGCTGGCTGGGGGCACTCAAGGTCTTCGCTGCTCCCTGCGCGCGCGAAGGAGGAGGAGCATGAGGACGCGTGAAAGGAAGGAGAGAATCACGTAAGAGGGACACAGATGCTCGGGAGGCAACACCTGGGGAGCTTGTCGTGGGAACGATTCAGGAAAACAGAGGTGGACTGAGGGGCTCTTGGACACAGGACAGCCACATTCACCCCAGCCTCAAGCCGGGTTGAGCCAGACCGAGGGGATTTGCATTAGACACTTCGGACAGAGACGATACAATCCAGCATGGGAGAGCGCGTGAATCATAGAGAGATGAGAGATGACGATGGGGTATGATGAGGGGGGAGAAGAAGAGAACGCAATGCTGGGCGACAGGAGGAACTGACAACTGTAGAGGCCTCCTAGATGGGGTCCGCGTAGATGGGTTCGACAGAACTCACCGCATCGCCGATGCATCGGCGATGCGGCGCGACCCTCCGACCCCATCTACCCCTGCCCCATCTGCGAGATCTCGAAGCTTGGCAGACGAAGGCAGGGAAGAGGAAGGAAGAACATGGCCCCCATACATGGAAGAAAAAAAACGCCACACGTGCACATTTGTCCCTCCGCGCGGATTTCTTGGACCTGCGCCCGGGCCCCCCTGCGGCGCCTCCGGCGCCGCCCCTGGCGCGCTTCGCGCGCCAGGCAGGGGGGCCCCGGCGCGGATCCAAGAAACCCGCGCGGAGCGCCAAAAATTTATGTTTACGTGGTGGGATTCTTCTTCGACAGACCGCCGTGGGCCGACCCCTGCGCAGTGGCGGCCCCGCCCGACGGCGACGACGGCGCCCTTCCGCGCGGCGGCCGGCCACGCC